GTGAATAATATGATCTTCTTGGCTCTTGCCCGTGAGCATCTAGGAAATGGACTGTGTCTTCTGTTACTTTTCGTACCCCTCAAGGTCACGTCCTATGTATGAGGTGCTCCCCATGCTTGTTGGCCCACAGAGCTGGGATGGCCTCACAGACTGTTTTGGCATCAGAGAACAGAGAGAGAGAAGGCCTGGAACCTTGAGGGGTATGTGTGGGGAGGGGGCAGGCTCCTCCTGCAGGACCCAGTGAGCCTAGCTGCCCGGAGATGGCCAGGGAGGGAGAGGCTTCAGGGCGGAGACCAGGAGGCCCTAGGCATGTATGGAAGGGAAGCTGGGAGAGGGGGTCTGTATGCGTGTGAGGGGAGAGGGCATGAGAATAGCGGACGCGGAGCGTCCTAGAAGCAGAAGTGGGGGTGGAGTGGGAACTGTTCCTGGAGGGGAGGCCAGTGAGTGAGATGAGTTGGGACCCAGTGGAGAATCTGTGTGAGAGCAATGGGAAGCGAGATGGCTACTGTGTGTGGAGGGTGGGAGCAGGGGAAGGGAGACATGGGGACCTGGAATGGCGCCCGGAGGAGTTTCGAGTCTGGGAGAAGAGGGGATGGCTTAGAAGAAGGGCGATTTAGTGCCCTTAGAGTGTAGCTCAAAGCTGCACTGATCCTCAGGTTCTGAAATGGCAAAAAAGGCTAAGGTTTGATTTTGGTCACGTCAAAGCAATATTTTGCAGAGGACTTTTAATGTCTAAGGACCATTTTTATGAGTGAGCTAACATTTTCGTGACAATGATGAGCCTTTGATAACCTTTCACTACCCGCTTCAGCTTCTTTGAGAACCATCTTTTTATTTTCTTGTTTACCCCGGGCCCCCCTCCACTGGAGAGCTTTCAGATACTAGAAATTGGGTCCACTTTGTTCCCTCCGTTTGCCCAGGTTCTGCCCAGGGCTGGGTGTGTGTTGGGTAGACAATAGGAATAAATAAAAGGCATCTGCCCACTTCCCTGCTCCCCCGGGCCCTTCGAGGCTATGGCTCTGGGGTCTGCTAGTTTGAATGCAGGCTCTGACCTCCTAGCCACCCAGCCAAGTGCGTGTTGCTCAACTCTCTTGCTCAGCTTTCATCTCTGCAAACTGGTGGTGGAAGTGGCCCAGCCCACTGGTTGTCGTGAGGGCTAGCCACCATCTGTGTCAGGGGACTCAGCGAGCAAGAACGGCATTATCTTCATCATGGTATTCATACTCCCGGGCGTACAAGCCATTTAAACTGGGGAACAGATTCGATTTTACTCACTTCTCTGTACTCAGAGGACCCCACATGGTTGGGACTAGATAAGTATTTTCTGAATGAATGGAAAAAACTTGAGAGCAACCCAGATCCTCAGAACTATAAAGGGATGACATTTTATCGTAATGTTTTATTTCTTTAAACTGGACCCGACTCTACCTTTCTTATGTATTTTCAATTAAATTCCATCTTTTAAATCTAGGTAATACTTACATGTTGTACTATTCAAAGCTACAGAAGGAGTAAACAACAGAAAGTCCCTCTTCCATCAGGGCCACCCCATGACACAAGTCCAGGGAGTGCCATTCCCATAAAATACGGTGTGGCACCCAGTGCTCCTGCTCAGGCCACCGTCCACCCAGTTTCCCCCTCTGCAGACACCTCTGCTACCAAGCTCTTCTCTGTCCTTTCAGAGATGGTCTGCGTGGGTCTGATGGATCGTGGGGGTGTTATTCGACATAAAATTATCCTCCTTGCCTTGTTTATTTTCCATCTTTGAGACATTATTTCATATGAGGTGTTTAGAGAATTGCTTTCTTTCTTTATACAGTTACGTAGTATCTGCTAGTGTGGTATAGATTTACCATAGTGTAACTACTCCTCTACGAGACCAGTATTTAGTCAGCCTTTGTTAAGTTGCTTCTAAATGGTTTCTAATGCAAACAGTGCTGCCACGTGCAGGCATCACTCAGCCTACTGTTTGAGCACATCTGGAGGATATATTCCGAGAAATGGATTGCTTAGGTAAAGCAGAGAAATGACTTTCTAATGGTGGAATTTCAGTCATCTGTGGCAGACATAGAGGTGATCTTTTTATACTGGGGTTTAGGGTATGTCAGATCCTGCACAGGATTGATTATCCACAGACCCCGCTCTCTGGTGTATTCCATGCTGGAGAACAATAGTTTCTTATTCTCTAGAGAGAAGAGAACTTGCAACAGAAAGGTGGCTCTTTGAAGTCTAGCCAAGGCTCACTGATGAGATCCCATCTTATCTCACTTCTAAAGGAAGACCTTGCTGGGCAAGGAGACACCTGGGACACTAAGAACCACTCAGCAGTGAGTTCACTGGAGACTCTGCTGGAAAGCCTGAGGAGTTCAGGGTTCAGTCCCCCAAAGAAACATATGATGAGCTCAAGAGACTCTGGCCCCAGAATCATCTTGTGGGGGAGAGTGAGCAGTTCTTTGCTATTCCTACTGAGAGTATCATTCCTGTTAACACCACGGGATGGATGGGAGAGTGGGTGGGTGGTGGGTAGATGGATGGATGGATGGATGGATGGATGGATGGATGGATACATGGATGGCTGGATCAATGGATCAATAGATCAATAGATCAATTGACACATAGACATATATAGGTAGATATTGATCAAGCAGGCATGAACGTAGACTTGCTTTTAAATTTGGGCTCCACCACATACCAGATATAGGACTTCAGGCAACTTCTATGACGTCCTTGAGCCCCAGCTTCTTCATCTAGAATGGGATTAACAATGCCTTCTTTGTGGGGTGGTGGCGAGGAGCCAACAGTTGTAAAGCAGTATGAGTAAAGGACCTAGCACAGTACCTGGCACACAGTGGGCTCCCACATATGGCGGGAGTTGCTATCATTTGGTGTATGACTGGGAAGTCTCTGGTTGGTGTATTGAGGGCATTTCTTTGGCAGGAGCCAGTGAGCATGTACTTCACGCTCTGTTTGACCCTTGCCTTCAGGGAATGATTCTTCGAGGCGGAGGTTCTCAGCCTTATTGCTCAGCATACATGTGGGAGACATTCAGGTGCCTGCCACTCTCCCAGCATGCATTTCACAGGGCAGGATTTCTAGCTACAGTCATTTATCACCAGGCCAGGAAAGTAACATTATTACAGAAAGGACCTAGATCCACTTGAATTTATATTAAAACAATAAATAAATAAAGGAAAAGAAAGGCAATCATCCTTGGATTTTGGTCTTTTTGCTACAATTTATTTGCAAAACAGCACCCAGCTTGCACCTATCGACTAGTAATGGAGGCTGAGAGCTGACAGGTACCTGTCGGGTCTCATTTCATTGGGTTTGGGGTAAATTTCATTCTTTCCTCCAGATATGAAGTAAGGACAATTATCAGAGGAGTCTGGCCACTGTGCCCACATGGTTATGGAATGATTCTGTCTTTGACCTTCGCTGAGTGCCTGGCTGAGGTGTTAAGCCCTCTGCGGTGACCATGGGGAACCACAGACATCCAGGACCTTAGCCGGTGCCTTGGCTGCTTGGCCAAGAGGCCAGGTCTGCCAGGCCCAGGCGGGCTCACTCCGTCCATCAGGCAAGCACGGGCTTGACCTGCCAAGGCAGCTGCTTTAAGCCTTAGCATCTTCCTCAACCTCACCCAACCCTCCCAGCAACCCCTGCCCCAGCCAAGCGGGACCAACTGTTCTCTCTTCTGTGTCCCCACAGCACTTTGTTCCTGCAGCTATTAAAGCACTCGCTGTCGGTTTTAAATACATGTCTACACCTTCCAGGGCAATATTTAAAAATATTTGTTAAGAGATTTTACACAATCTCAAATTCTTCATTAAAATGGCCATAGGGTTTACATAGTTCCATCTCTGATATTAGAATCGAAAACGTACGTTGGTGGTTTAGAATCCCATTGGGTTCTTCTCTTTAGATAGAAAGAGTTGTGGAAAAATCAAGCTCGTCCAGAGAGTTCATTATGCCTTTGAATTGTGCTTTCATCCATTCTGCAGTCAGTCGGTCATTCAACAAACAGTTAACTCCCGCTTTTGTGCCAGGCACTGTGCTAGGCGCTGGGTATAGTTAGATGAAGACGTGGGTTGTGTCTTGGAGGCCAACACAATGCAACCTAGATTTTGCTAACGTACTGAAACCTCTTTCTAGATAAAAGAAGTCAACTTATAGCATTCTTTTCTGAATGCGATTTCCTGGAGCTCTGAAACCATCTCTTTATTGTAAAATCTACAATATTGATTCAGTCACCAAAAATCCGTGTAAGGCACGGTGCCTGGAGTCGTGGCAGTGAGGGAAAATAAAGAAAAAAACATGTGATTTCGACCTTCTAGGGACCTAAATCTAAATAACGGAAGTCACACATGGACAGAAAACTCAGTCTGCTGTTTCATTTGTGATTGTGCATGGCCTTCATTCATCTGTTCATTCGATCCTAAGTATTTTTGGTGTGTATGGTGCGCTTACACTGGTAGGCACTCTGGAGCCTGTGGAAGAGGCCTAAGATGTGGGCCTTCCCTCTGGGCACTCAAAGTCTCCCCAAGAGCGAGAAAGGGGGTTCAGAGGCCAGTAGAACATCAGGTCAACTGCAGTCTAGGCCAAAATTGGTGGCTCAAAGAATGCTCTGGGGGTCCAGGGGGTCCGACATCAGCCTGTGTGATTGCCTGTTGGCTGCTTCCTAGAGGTGGAAGATTTGGAACCAGTTCTGAGGGATGGAAAGGCCTTCTGGGCGGGAACTGGACATTCCAGGTCAAGGGAAGGGCTTAAGCGAAGGTCTTGAAGTGTTAGGAATGTCTCATTAGAGACTAAGACGCAAAGGGGCTAGAGGTGGAGGGAGAACTCGCTCCAACCAACAGCCACCCCAGGGCAGGGCCAGGAGCAGCCTGGGACTGGACAGGAGGTGGCAGCTGATGCTGAGTCTGCCATCTTCCGGGAGCTGTGCTTGCTCATTCATTCCCCTTTGTCCCTCATCCAGACTCTCTGTCTCATTAAAGGATGGTACGATGACCTTCACACTCTACCTGAAGTCCTGCCCTCCTTCTGCTATAAGGAGTTCGATTCTACAAAAGAAGCCAAACATCATAAATGTGCCCGGCATGGCTTGGGGCGAGCAGTGCTAAAAGTTTTTAAAAAGAAAAAAAATTCCCTGGAAATACCAGCGGTGTAGGGCCCAGGAGAATCCCTGAAGCATCCAGCTTCTGCGTGGGAGGCAGAGAGTGAGGGCAGAATGACATGAGCGCTGGTCACTAGCTTCCCAGAAGGAACTGGCACTTGGGCCAGACTCAGGTGTGAAAATCTATCACGCAGGTGGGTCCAGCACCACCCAGCTCCGCTCGGCTGCCGCAGCTCTGTCCGGAGAACCGCCAATGGCCGCAGATGATGAAAGCCTTTTTCCTCCAGGTTACACTGCCCTTTAGTCTGGTTTTGATTCAGACCAGGTCTCTCTACCTCGGTCTGATCTTCTCTGGGTGGTGCCACCTCCCCCCTGTCTCCCAGGAGTGACGCCCAAGGTTCTAAAAGGTCCTGCGAGAGGAAACAGATATCAACGTTGTCATTGACCCGAGTCCCAGCAAAATTTCGTGATACGAAAGATTTTTCAGGTTACGGTGGAAACGCCAAAGGGACAACCAGCAGCATGATTTGAAGCCCTGGGACAGGACAGTTGTCATTAGTGACGAGTCTGGCCTTGTTGCTATTTGTGGGCCAACAGAGTTATCTGTTGTTCATGGCAATGCGCCCCAGGCTTAGTGACTTAAACAGTAATTCTCATAATTCTGCAATGAGTCTGGGCTTAGCTGAGTGGTTTTTCTCCACGTGGTGTCCTCTGGGCCGAGACATGCAAGATAGCTTTTTCCTCACATGTCCTGAGTCTTCACTGGGTTGGCTGGGACCACTAGGACACCAAGAGAGAATACCCCAAGAGGAAAAGCCCCAAAGCACAAGCACATAGCAAGCCTCTGCTTCCATCACGCCTCCGAATGTTCCACTGGCCAAAGCAAGTCACGTGGCCCAGGCCAAAGGCGATGGGGAAGGGGCTATTCAGGGATGTGAACACTGAGAAGTGTGCTTTACAGAGTCACGGGGTAATGTCTACCACATCCCATCGCCTACGTGATATACCAGCAAACACCAGCTTGATTTCTGATGCTGAGACCTCATGGAGCCAAGAGACAGGCTGGGTGTGAGTCCCAGCTAGGCTCCTTGAACTGCGTGACCCCTTTCAGCCTCCTTTGTAAAAGATCGGAATCTTCCCTCCAGGACTGGACTGTCGGAAGGAATGACAGGAGTGATGGGCTTAAGGTAGGTCAGGTGCTCAATCCCAGTTAGCTGCTGTTGCAAAAAGCAGCTTGTTCTGCAGAACAGCTAAACACTCCAGCATGGCACTGTATCTTCTGGGGCTTTAAATCAGATTAGGAGCAGTAAATAATTTTTTTTTTCCCCCTCTTGTCATTCAGTTTAAAAAAAAAAAGAAAAAAGAAAAGAAAATTATTGATTTTTAGGTAAAAGGACCCAGAGGACTCCCTTCATTTCTCTGTACAAAGAGAAAGCGTCGTGACCTTAGATAGAGTCCAGGAGATTCAGGGGCACTCGAACTGCATGAGATCTGAAAGAGCCCCCTCCTCTTGTGCATTCACCAGCCCCTCCGAAAAACAACAGCAACGAAAAACCATGCAGCCCTCTAGTCTGTGTCTCGTTACTAACGGGGACGACACAGGGACTTTCTACGACCAGAAGTGGGCATGAACAAAAGCAAACACAACGTCTCTGAAGTCCATTTAATTAAAAAGGAAACGAAGCAGCTTTGTGTGCATAATCCCTCCCTGATTCACAGTCTTAAAAATCCAATTTGTTCTCATAATGGGCTTTGGAGGTAAGCAGAGGGTGGCTAGGGAATTGAGGCCTCCGAGCTGGCCCAACCCCCTTCCACCTCACTCCGGATGATTTTCGGAGGCTCTCCGGGCTTGCTTGAGATGTGCGGTCAGCTTCATTGGGCTTTCGGCAGCTGGCAGCGTCCAGTGTGTTCTCATTTTGGAAGTCTGTTTGCAGCCCTGAGGGTTTGAGATAATGAGTTCCAGGCAGTTAGAACAGGAGCCCGTCCTAGACTGTCCCCTGCAGGCAGTGGCCTCTGCCTCACTCCACCATCTCCAAGAAGGAAGGTATGGGAGGTGATGCTGGACCCCTCCTAGGGAGGCCCGGTGCCCGTGAGAGGGACTCACGCCCCATCCGTCTCAGGTTTGAATCCCGGCTGTGGGCCACACACCAGCTGTGCAGCCCTGGGCAAGTCACGTCATCTCTCCAAGCCGTGTTCTTCTCAGTTGAGAAATACAGATGATTACACGAAAAACTGCTTAGCACGGAGAGCCTGCACGCACTAAGCACTCGGAAAACGTGAGCTGACAATGTTATCACAGAAAGGAGTTGTTCATGTTGATAGAGCAAATCTGGCATTTAGGAAAATTGTCCCCAGTGTTATTTCTCCAAAAAGAGCATGATTATGTTTTTCTTCGGGATGATCTTTTTAAAGGAAATAATCCTTTTTGCTGTAGCGGTGGAGGACATAACTTTTCTTGTTTTATTTTTTCCTCCAGTTACAGAACGACTTCTATTTATTGCATACATTCTAAAATATTGAGGAAAACACAAAGAAGAAAATTAAAATCGCCCACAATGTTGTCACCTGAGGATCACTATAATTACATGTAGATGTATTTCCTTCTAGATCTTTCTCTCTCTCACCTATTTTATATAAAGGGGAATATGCTGAACTTACTGTTCTGTTACCTGGTATTGTTCCTTTATTGAAACATCCCAAACATCATTTAATATCATTAAATATTTCTCCTGTACCATAATTTTAGATGTCTATACCAGATTCCATTGAATGAATGTAGGTCCAACCCCTACTTCCTGAACACCTGTGTGCTAGGTAACCCACAGGAATGAATTTCCAGAGTTCTCTGAGGTGGATAGATTACCACGATCTTTTGCATGGGAAAACCAAGCCCAGGGTCACACCTCCGGCCAGAGAGGCAGAATCAGGGGTCAAAGTCAGGTTCATTTGCCTCCAAAGCTTCCCATTCCGGAGAAAGGTTGGTTGCCCCTGGAGTGGGTCATGGCGTGAAAGTCAGGGGTCTTCCTCTACAGCTCCACTAAGACTGTCTCTTCAGGGGGAGAGTCAAGGATTCTGTGAGCCTATTCGGTGGAGAATCCACCCAGAAAAAAGGCATGAACAGTCCCTTTCCCAACCGGCCAAGGAAACATACGAAAACACACTTGCCGACGTCCGTCATCAGAGAGATGCAAATTAAAACCGCAATGGGATGCCACCACACACCTGCCAGGGCTAGAATGAGACAGACCAGCGGTCCCGAGTGTGGGAGAGGATGTGGAGCAAGTGAGAGCCCACGCTCCGCTGGCGGGAGTGTAAGCTGACACGACCACTGTGTAACGGCTGAGCGGCATCTATCAAAGCTGGACATGTGTACATCCTACGACTCTGGGTGTGTGCCAAACACAGGTGCACACACGTGTACCCAAACACACGCACTAAAATGCTCGTGGCAGCACTGTCTGTCATAACCCCACACCGGATGCCATTCAAAGGCCCACCTGCAATAGTTTTGGGTAAATACCCTTCGGTAATGATCACCCCACACTGCAATGAGAGTGAATCAACTCCCGTTAAACGCGGCCACGCGGATGGTTCTCCCAGATATACTGTTGAGTGAAAGAAGCCAGACTCGAAAGACCCACGCTGGATGATTTCGTTGTATAAAGAACAGGCAAAAGCAATCTATGGCGTGAGGAGTCAGGTAGAGGCTAATCTGGGTGGGGGGTGACTTGATGACTAGAAGGCACGTGAGGGGTTTCTGGTACGCTGGAGACGTGGGAATGGTCATTTCCTGAAAATTCACCAAGCTGTGCACTTACGTGCATTTCATGCATTTGTGTATCTTACACTGCAGTAAAAAGTTAAATTAAGAAGTTTCTACCAAGAAGCACGACTCACGACTGACCGTGCGTGAGTCGCCTCTCTCACCAAACCCAGGGCGCCGACCAGCCAGCGTGGTGATCCTGCACAGGTCCCTCGCCCCGGCCTTTGAGAAGTTCTGCCAGGCCAACAGTGGCCCTCTGTCCCTGCTGGGCCGTAGCAAGCCCAGCAAGTGGACATCGCCCACCTTGGGTGCTGTCCCAGACACCAGGTAAAACATGTGGGTACAGGAGTTAAGGTTTGGTTGGGAGTGACCAGATGCCGCGGTCAGGTGTCTCTGTCACCAGAGACCTCTTTGCTCAGCCTCGGGACCCCAAAAGTGCCTGGCACGGAGCCCCATTCCCACTCCTGCCTCTGTCCTCTGGCCCTGCTCGTGCCCCTGCTTTGGGCAAAATCTTTGGGATCACCAAGAAGATCCAGCCCTGGAGAAATCCCATGGGGACCGCCATCCGCCCAAGTCATCACCCAAACCAGAAACCTGTCTGCACAGGATGAAGAAGAAAATAAAAACACTTGCATTGCCAACACTCAGAGATAGACGTTATTAATATTGTGGTGTCTATGCTCTCAGACGTTTAAAATAGAACATATCCAATAAATGCGTCAGTGAGGCCACATCTCCGCCACCGCCCTAGCTCAGGTCCCCATCCTCTCCTGCCTGAACTCTTAGGACGTGACTGGTCTCCTCGCCCCTCTCCCCTCTCCCCCCAACACCACCCCCACCTTCTACTCTCCCACCAGAGTGACTATTCCTAACGCTCCCTCTGATCATGGGACTCTCCCATTTAAAAGTCTTCAGTACCCTCCTGCGGGCTTACGCCTTAGCCCCATGTCAAGCCCTGTAGTGACCTGGCCCTGGCTCAGGGTTGTCCCCAATCCTATACTCTGGTCATCTCAGCCGTCTCCCCAGAGAGAAGGCTCCCCAGGAACATTCGTTTTGTGGACCCCAGGGGTTGGAGGGTCCTTCAGGGAGCTGAGGCCGCTGCCACACTGTTCACATACTGCTCGCCCTGCCTACGATGTGCTCTCTCCTTGTCCAACTGGTAAACTCCTAGTTGGCTTCAGGACCCAGCTGTAGGACCTCCTTGCTGTAGGAAGGAATGGGCTTCTCCCGTCCCTGTGTCATGCTCTGCCCAGACTGTTAATACTCACTGCTCTACAAGTATCTGAGGTCCGTGGAGTCTGAGCTGCCCATGCAGGATTTTGAGCTTCTTTAGGGCTGGGCCGGTGTCCTCTCCAGCACTGTAGCCCCATCACCTGACCCAAACGAAATGGCTTTGGAATGAATGAAGAACAAGCTGGTAACCAGAGTCTTCAAGTCCTGCAGAAGGGTTTCTCTAAGGAAAGAGGAAGGCCTCGCCACGGCCAGCACTGAGAGCTTCCTCGAGACACGTGTCCTGTCTTTTCGTTTGTTTGTTTGGTCTGCGGGCCCTGCTACAATAGCAGAGAGGACACTATTGTTTTTTTCTGGCTGCTTTGGCTGGTCTCAGGTCGAGGTTGCAGAAACTATAACAGGTGGGGGCTACATTATATACATTCTGATTTAATAGTTTCCAATCTGGCAAGATTTGCAGGGCCCAGCAAGGCCCCCTGCTGAGAGCTGCATTCCCTACCTCAGTGCCAGTGCCTGAAATTTCAGCCCCAGACGCCAACTTCTCTTCCCGCCATTTTTTAAAATGCAGACTCATGTTGAGTCTGGGGCTCTGTGAACCTCCCCTTGTGTCCCCAGGATGGGACCCTCCCAGTTCTACAAGTACGAGTTCGGTGCCTGCACGGGTGGCCTGACCTCACTGGAGGAGTACTCAGAGCAGCTCAAGGACGTGGTGACCTTCCACCTGGGCTGCAGCTTCTCCCTGGAAGGGGCCTTGGAGAAGGTGGGGTTCCCCAGAAGAAACCCAGAAGGCCACGGCCACGTGTGTGCATACAAGGTAAAGACACAATCCACGAGGACAGAGTGACTTGGAAATACAGGTCGCCCTGTGTTTTTCTGTGGGAGAACACGGGCACAGGAGGCTGAAGACCTAAGCTCTGGTCCCCGCTCAGCCACTTTCTAGCTGAGCAACACAGGACAAGCAGTTAACCTCTCTGAGCTTATTTCCTCATCCGGAAAATGGGGCCACCAGCTCCTCTCTCCTGCCCACCTCTGGGATGGCTGTGGGCACGTGGTGTGGCCTTGAGGGGTGAATTGAGCCCTCTCAGCAGCTCGTTGTGGCTGTGTACACCAAACCTGTTCAGACTTTCTCTGGCTCCTTTAACTCAGGGCATCTCAGTGAGGTTTTTCTAAATCCTGCCTGGCCCGAACTTCCTGGCATCAGCGAGAATGTCCCTGGCTGGGTAAATGCCCAGGGATTTATGGCAGAGCCTCGGCCAGGCCATTAGCTGCTGGACCATGTCTCTGTCAGAAAAGCTGGGTCATGCTCTTGGCCAGAAGTGACTGCGGGTGGTCAGCCACGCAGTGTAGGCTGTGCCCACCGTTAGTGGCTGCCTCCTTACTGTGTCGCTGAGGTTAGACTCTGACCACTGCTTGTCATGAGAAAGAACGAGATTCCCTCAATCCACTGACCCCTTTGGGACATTTACGTAAAGTCCGAGAAGGTACCCTGCCGGATCGATGGTCGGCCAGCATCGGCATCTTTATGGGAGACTCAGCTTGGGCTGAGGCCTGGGCTCTGGACTTTATTAGAGCTTGTTGGTCTGGGCTCCCGCCAGGGAGGCCCAGGCTGCCTCTGATGAGAATCGAGGCTGCCCACAGTGCCTGCTGCTTTTCATGTGTGAAAAATGTGCCTGGGTGGTTTTCTTGAAGGTAGGGAAGAGCCGGGGAAGAACCCTAGCGGCGGGCAGGGGCCGGGGGCAGAGTCTGGCCCCAGAGCAGCCCTCCACGTGTAGCAGGTAAGAGCTGGGAGGGCCTCGCGGCTCATCGCACACAGCCTTTCGTTTTAGACGAGGGAATCGAGGCCTAAAGAGCAAAAAGGACTTGCCCAAGTCCCAAATCCAGACAGGAACCCAGGACTCCCGGCTCCCACCTATAAAATGTCAACAGTAGACGTACGACGATTAAAAGGTGCTTTGCAGGGAGGCGCTCATCGCCGCACAGTATCAGAGGTCAGCAGAGCCGTGGCTTCCGTGACACCTCACTGCCCGGTGCTCGCCAAAGAGCTTTCGGTCGAATATTGATACCTCTGCCCGTTGGCTCCTGGGAGAAATCTTGGATTCAGTCGGCAGCCTTGAGGGGACGAAGCGCGCCCCACGAAGAAGGTGCCTCGGCCTCGGAGTGCCGCCGGCCTCCTGTGGGTGTTCCTGGCCTGTGCTCCCCGCTACCCCCTCACAGAGACTTGAAAACTACACAACACTGGTGAAAGAAATTAAAGATGAACTAAATAAATGGAGAGACATACCGTGTTCATGGATTGGGAAACTCAACGGAGTGAAGATGTTAATTCTCTCGAAAGTGATAATTGTTTTAATACACCCCCGCCAAGTGTCGTTGTTCAGAGGCTGACCTGGCAGGTGCACAAGGGTTCTTCCTGCTGCTGCCAGGGTGCTGACGCCAAGCCCCAGCCGGCCGGTCTCCCGGCAGATTATTCTCCTGGCTTTGTCCTAAGTCTTCCATAAGCCCCGCTGCAGGGACCAGAAGCCATTCAGGGAGGAGAAACCACATCACCAGGGAAGGTCACATGGGGCGTCCTGGGCGGCTTCAGCTGAGGCAGGAGGGGCGAGGCGGCGCCCCATGGGGTCCAGGCGCAGGCCCCCATCCGCCGAGTGGACTCGTGAGGCTGAGGAGACCCCCCGCGCCTCCTGCCAGGGTCCTGCTCCCGTGGGTTCCTCCGCCTGGATTCTCCCAGAGGTCTGCACCTGTGAGGTCCGTGGAGCAAATTCAGAGGGTCCGTGAAATTGGATGGGAAAAAATGTTACATTTGTCTTTTCATTGTCTCAGACTGAAACTGAGCGTTTCCTTCCCTTATAAACGCGGGCAACCAACTGCAGTCCTATCGGTAGGCTCTGGAGCTGCCTAAAGCGATCACAGATATTTTCATGCCGCATTCGAGTTCTTTCGGTAGGTCAGAAATATATATGTTGATTACTACTTCAAAATTATCACGGTAGATCTGTCATCTCGTTTCTTAAGACACACGCATACTGCTGTGTCACGTTTTTTTTTTCATATGATATCTACGTCTGTAATGTAATGGGTTTCCTTTGTCATCCTATGCATGTCCTGTCATGTGGTTAAAAACACTGCTCTGATGGGGCTCCGTAGCTGCACCGGACGGCAGAAAGGGTTCACGGCGCATACCAAGCTAGGGTTCTGTTTCAGACGGATAATCACCAGCAAACTTCCTCATCTGTACGTTGCATGAAAGTAGAAGCTACATTTTTATAAGAGCTACTTGTTCCTCCCACCTACATTATTCATGGCCTCGAGCCCTCGATACTCAGGGCTGTGATCTGTGTGAAGTTTATCTTATTTTTTAACATTTTTTTTTTTACTTGATTTCTTGGCAGATGACAGTGCCTTGTGCCACCATGGATGGCTTTTGCTGCCCCCTGGTGGTCACCATGATGCCTAGCCCCAAGGACAAGCTGGAAAGGCTGGTGCAAACCAGTTGCTCCACGTACGAGCAAGGATAACCCATTCATATCGGCAACCCAGGTCAGTGTTTGCTCTGGTTGGTGATTCTGACAGCTGCCCTTGGACTTCGGCCCGAGAAGACCGGATCTTTGTCCTCCCGCAGCCGTATTAGGGCTGGGTTTACAGATGTCCCTCAGATTTCAAAGACACTGCCCTTGGCGGAATAGCCACCCATTAGCTCCTCTGAACTTCAGGTGAACCTGGGGTGAAAGAAGCAGGAGGTGGAGGGTGGCGGCGGAGCTGTTTGTCTTGCGCTGAGCTCAGGGCAGCCTCTAACCTGCTGCTCAGCAGCGCATTCAAGTGGGATGTGTCTCCCTTCTGGACATTGACTTGAACTGAAACCCGTTGATCCCCAGCTCCTGAACTTGACCTGAGAGTGAATGAGCAGATCCACGGCTGGGAGCTGCCCAGGCCCGTGGAGGCTCTGAGGGCCCGGTGAGAGCTTGGGGTTGGGCCTCGGGTGCGAGTCAGCGTTCAGTGTAACTGAACTCGCTCAGCTGTGCAACAGCCAGGATCAGACAAAGCCCGGCATTCTGTGAAAATGCAGTCAGCGCATGCCACCTTCCTCACAGAACGATGATCTCAGGACCGCGCAAAACAAAGCGCCTGCTGACCGTCTTCTCGTGAGTGACACCGTCTTCGCTATCCTCGTGAGCACTTCACGCCTGGCCAGGGCAGGGACACTGTTGGCGGTCAAGCAACAGAGTGTCGGTCTGTGTTATGTGACTCAGTCTATACCAAGATAAACTCAAAATCGCTTCATTAGCAACCTGTACAATGAAGGTGTTGGGCTAAATGCACCCAAGACTCCTCCAATAATCACGTGAGGGTGGGGGTGGTGAGATTCCATTCCCTTCGAAGCGGACGAGATGTCAGCAAGCACCCTGAGACGCTAAGTCCCGACTCCTTTTCTCCTCCCCGTCCTCCAGTATCAGCTAGCGCAATCCTGGGACGAGAGTTCCTCCCGGAAAAAGAACCATCGACCACCCCACGTGTTCAGCGTGGACGGCGGCCCCAGGGCAGGGCCCGGTGGGATTCGTTTTCTCATTCCATCCGTGGAGCTGTTGGGGATCAAAGATCTTTCCAAAGCTGACTGTGGGGATCCTGTGGCGTGTCAGCCAAGAGACGTCCCGGTGTTCTGGCCTTCTCAGCTGACCAGTCTCGAAGCCGTCAGCGCCTGCAGTACGTCCGGGCCTGAGAGGGTGGTCGCTCCGACCCAGGGTGGACACTGGTGGGTCTCTAGTTCTTGAAATTACGGTGCACTGTTTAGAGGGATAAAGTCAGATAACGTAGACCCACAGCCCACAGCGACGATACCTCTGGCTTCTCTTTTTTCATTCCGTGACTGGGTCTCGCAAGAGCAGTTCGTCTTGCCTTTCGGCTCAAATACGTATTGATGAAATATAGTTCTCTCTCCAGAAGGCTCGCAGCCCATTCTAAGAGCCAATATTTATAGCGATCTTTTGAGGCATTTTGGAGGTTTGGAGGTGTGGCTTTGAAAGCGAAAGTGAAGGCAACACAACTAAACACACCATTTCACGAGGTCGTTGCAAGCAATATTGTCAGTACATTTCTTCAAAGGCCCAGGGTGATATTACAATGAAGAGACACACGAGGGCGCCCTAACCAGCCCACAGTAAGAGAGGGAAGTGAGAAAAACATTAAAAATAATAACTATTGTAGCCCATTGTCATAGACGCTGGGAAATTCTAGCCACACTTGCACTACAAATCAAAGAATTTGTTTCAAAAGCATTCATGGAAGTTTAGCTATGAGAATGGCCTCATAAAAGGAAAAGATAATTTCTAATATGGCAATGAGGCATAAATATCAAGACCCAAGTATTTGTTTACATAACATAAATGTATTGAGCACCTACTACATGCCAGGTATGGGCCCAGATCTTAGGAATAAATGCTGCACGAGACAAGATGAAGTTCTCAGGGAGCTCGTGGTCATTTCTGAGTGTGTGTGTGCACACACGCCCACACACACACAGTAGATACCCTCCAGCACGGTGGCCTCTTCCCTCCCCCCTGCCCCAGCCACTGGGGATGCCCTGCAGAAGAGGTCTCACTGCCCAGGGCATCCCAGCACACTCCAGCCCTTTAGTTCCGACTTGAGAGAGCATATTTGAGCATATTTGAGCATATTTGATAAGAACAAATGACACCTTGAATCTAATTTACAAAACTTGTGCTCGAATTTTAACATCTAAACTTCTATTAGCGGCAGATTCATTGCTGCACACCTCACAAATTATTGGGGTGAAATCCCGTGTCACTCTCTGAGCCGATGTTCTGATGCATACCTGGCTTTAGAGTGACCGATTTCAGGTGCTGTCCAAAACGCAGGAAAACAATGATTGCATTCATCAAAATCCCTAGTCCTTCCCCTTAAACATACTGTCTGAAAGTTCATTGGCATGCTTTATGCATCTGTCAGTAGGTTTTCCTTCTGAGGTGTTGGCTGCCTTTGGCTTTCTGTTGAATCTGAGACATTTTATTGCTTTGTGTGTGTGTGATCTCCAAGACGTTATTTACTCATTCACATCTAGATTTACTGAGGACCTTTTATGTGCAAGGCACTACGTGGGGCCCTGAGATGAACAGGCAGTGGTCTCTGGACCCCAAGAACACACAGCTGAGTGGGGGTGGAGTACTCAAGGATAAGACACTGAAGAAAGCAGAAGATGTAAATTAAGCATTGAGTACTAAGCACCTGATGGGCCAGGCCCAAGGACACAGAAGGAGTGCGGAATACTCAAGGATAAGACACTGAAAAAAGCAGAAGATGTAAATTAAGCATCATGAGTACTAAGTACCTGATGGGCCAGGCCCAAGGACACAGAAGGAGTGTGATACGGTGCCTGGTTCGATAATGCAAACCATCATTTATCCAGGGCTTAAACTGGAGCAGGCGCTTTGCTAACTACACACGTTTACATGCATTTTCCAGTTTAGTTCTGACAACCACGTGAGACGTTATCATTATTTTATAGTCGAGGACACAGTTGCATCTCAGACCCTAATGTGTTTGCCGTGCTCAAGATATGTGCCTAATAACTCTGCTAGAGTGCTTCCCATTGCCCGTAATCTAGCAGGGGAGAGTTTTTTAAAGAACAAAATGAGCATAAACCAAAGCAAAATATAAGTGCTGTGAGAAAAACAGAAGCTATGTTCAGAGAGAGCTGTCTCTTAACAAAGCTAACGTGTGCTGCGCAGTAAAGCCAGCTGGCTTGGTGCATTGTAAGAGCTCAGTAGGTACTTTCTGATATCCATGGGGTCACATGAATGGAACCTCTTAGAGCCCCACGGTAGCTGCGGCTTCTTTTCCCACACCCACCTCATCTTCGCCCTCCTGAAAACTCAAGGCACCTGTTTAAGGAGAACTTGATTTAGCCATAAGCCAGCTTGCTCTGACCTGGCGCTGACAAGCTGTTGGCAGAGTCGATGACGCGTGGTGCCATGTTGTCCCCTGACAGTGGACTAGAAGAGAATGGACTGGGTGTAATGAAGTTGGTGGGCTCAGTCCCTCTCGTTGTGTGTTTTAGAGACACCACTGGCTTTCACCAGCGCACCAGGTTGCCCAGTCATGGCCGACCTGAAGGATATGGAGGCTCCAGCCGGTGGTCTCGCCCCCAAAGGAATTCCAGAAGTCTATCCCATTTCCCAAGATCCTTTGCACTACAGCATCATATCAGCCTCAGCCACTCAGAAGATCAGAGAGCTGGAGTCTATAATTGCTGTAGACCCAGGTAAGAAACAAAGCATTCACACCTTAATGGCCTGGAGAAATCCATCATTGACGTAATGTTCAGTAAAAAAGGCAGCATAAAACTGTATCTACAGTATGATTTTTGTAAATGTTTATACTGTGTATGAATCCCAAAAAGACGAAAAGTAAATGCACCAAAACAGTGATGTTGATGACCTCTGGGTAGTGGGATAATGGGTGATTTTATTTCCTTCTTGGTTTCTTTCCTCCCTCCAAATTTTTCAACAATAAACGTGTGAGGGAGTTTGGAAGGTGAGCTTATTAGTTGGATGCGTTGCCAAAACTAAAATGAGTTTGGGAAGGTAAGAAAAAAGAAACTGGTCCCTTGGTAGTCACGTGCCACCATTTAAACATCATCCATGTGTTTAATAATAGCTATAATTGTCCCCTTTTGTGCCATTTCCCTGAAATTGGGCATAGGACAGTTTGTTCTTGCATGGGGTGGCAGTGGTAGGGGCAGGAGCTGGATTTCTACTCCTTGGGGAACGCTGGTGGGGCAGGACCCTGCAGCGACAGCCTCACAGCAGTTTGCAGCCAGCACATATATTGCATCTCAGAGGTGGGACAGCCCTGCTATGGCGCGTGAGCCGCTGGCTTTCTAGACAGGGACAGCACTAGTGGGATCCGTGAGGGGTCTGCAGGTTCCAATGAGGAGTTTTACTGAAAGCCAGTCCAGGGGGGCTCTTGACTTCCTGCTGCATCTTCATTTAAAAGTCGGGTTTCTAATCTCAGGTGGCCACCAGAGGGCGCCATTGCGCGTGAGTGTTTTTTGATTTTGTTTTGTTTCGTTTTGTTTTTTTTTCTAACAAAAGCTCACAAAGAATTAAGATGTGGACTTCACAGCCTCTCTCTACTTCAGTTTCCCCATCAGTATAATAGGAGTAATGACAATGATACCTTTCTCAGGGCTGAGATAGCTAATAAGAATAATAGCTATCATCTACTGAGTTTTACTCTAAGCCACACATCTGTTAAAAGCGTTCACATGTTTCGCCCTATTAAATTCTCCCAACGACCCTACGAGGCAGCTATTATTAATTTAACAGATGAGGAGACTGAGGCAGATGAGGCTGAGAAACTTGCCCGAGTCCACGTAGTAGGTGAACAGGGAGAACTCAGAACCACGCCCACCGGCCCCAGCATCCAAGATTTATCGGTGTTGGATAAATTGGAATCTGAGTGTGAATGGTATGTCACAGTCTCTCCCAGGCAGTTAAAAGGTGCTCTGGCCTCTCCTGACTCACAAGCCCTTTCCCCTCCTGCCCCATCTCACGGGCTGTGATTTCTATACTTGGGATGCTCTCTGCACCTTGGCCGTCTGGAGAAGGCATATGTGGCCTCCCAGATGGCCTGCCGGACACCTGTTTCCCAAACAGATACCTGGATCGATGGTGGCAGGGCCCCCGTGGAGAGCAGAGGTGTGAGGCCAACCTGGTGCGGTCAACTCTCCAGGCCAGACTCCTGGGACCCAGACAGAGCTGATCGTGGTGACACTGGGGTAGAGGACGGTGCCTGGGTGAGGCCACCGAGCAGACAGCCCGGGTGCCCTTTTGTGTTGGCTACCATTGTGGCCTTGAATCTGACAGTGCAGACCAGCCTGAAAAGTCTCTGATCTTTCCCCTGGGCCTGGGAGCAAAGAGGGGTCTGCAGTAACAAAATTTCCTGTGAAATTATGGGACATAGCTTTTGCTTTTCTGTTTGTCTATTGGGGTTTTCATTCATTCATTCATTCATTCATTCATTCATTCATTCTGCAGAAAATATGGTTTCTCTAACATATAGACACAGAGTAAATTTGGGACATACTCCCCACCCTGCCCCAGCATATGCACCTTTTAGGGTATATGTATAGAGAGAGGCGAATGCTCACAGCTATGTATACATAGAGTCTCTTAATCGTTGATCTCCTTGGTGGATATTTTTTTAAATTTCTGCAATACTTTCTCTCTCACAAACATTCTTACCCACACTGACTGCTCCCTCATGCAACACAAGGGTCATGAGGGAAGATGAATTACTGACTCCGCCATTACCTCAGATAAACAAGTAACTGAGAAGTAAATTTACTGCAGACGTGGTGCACCCATGGCTTAATAAGAATGACCCGAGGGCTTGTCCACAGCACCCTCTTCGGTAGCTGTGCGGACTGTGTGCCAAGGCTTGACGTAGGGGGCTCAGCGTAAAGGCAGATTCATGGCTGTCTGGATATGCCAACATCATCTATTAAGAAATGTCTTTAATCTTCCAGAATCACAGAT